AGATAAGCTCAAATTAATATTTATAATTTAAATGACTTTATGAAGATTAACAATAAATAGAATAGAATTTAGAGAATTAAATATAGACAACGTAGTTCCAAGTGCAACTCTTTGACTGCCGACTGCTAACTGTCCTACCTGACTGCTTAACCGGCTTACATATATATGTATATTGAATATATTAATATGTTGAGTTATATATAATAACAAATATTTAATTATAAGTGCTAATACTTAGTGTTATATATTAATAAGTGTTCGCATGCGCAACGGAGTATAGCCCGAATCCTGCTTTCAACTGTTACACACGACCGGTCAACTCTAACGCCTAACTACGACTGACTGTCTCCAATTGCCCGCGTTGACAACAATTATTAGACATTATTCTATAAAATGTTGTGTTTTTGGCTAGATAGATATGATACGTCTTCTACATTTATGGTAAAGTATGGTAAAGTGTTGTCAGAAAGGAACCATACAGTGTCATAGTAATTATTATATCTTTTCTTCCCTGTCATTATCCTGGTAACTTCCGCAGAAAAATTTGAAAGTAACTTAAACAGATCGATATTTCTATTTTACATGTGTGGATATATAATGTATATAAGTGTGTATATGATTAAGATATCAGTGACATGAGAGTTATGAGAGTAGCTACAATAAGCTCTGTATTGTTCTCCTTAATTCCTTATCATGACGATTGCAACAGGATGCTACCGTCATCTCACATTTTGATATCATCTTGGTCATCAAATTTGACCAGATCGGATACTTAAAACTTAGCGTAGACATTAGCTTACGACTAATTTTGGCTGGGATTACAAGTCTCTACACACAAGTCTCTGCAGGGGCTTTAGCAGATCGACTTAAAGCCGATCATCTTTGAACTTAGTAAAGTGTTTAATATTTTGTGACATATATTTGATTATAGTTATCTTGATATGTGATAGGTTTATTCTAATTGCCGGATAACTGTATTTTTGTAATTGTTTTTTAACTGACTAGACTTTTAAAAGAGGATACCAGAATTACTAACTTTGATGATATAGTTTTTTAACTGACTAGACTTTTAAAAAAGGCTACGGGAATAACTATCTTTGTTAATATAGTCGAAAAACCATATTTTATAACTTTATTTAATTTCAATATTTAATTTAACTTGTTTAGGAATATGTAGATATTCTATATGGGCATGCAGTCTATACATACTAGCCCTTGCGTGTCTTCTGAAGCATGTGTGAATGTGGTAATCTGCTACTAAGCAAATACCATTACTGATATGTTATGTGCGTGATTTTATTTTTGTTGCCTTCCCTCTTGGCTTTTGTTTCTTGTGCTTAAACGCCACGCAATTTAATATTTTAACTTAAGAAATAAAACAACATAAAAATAAATAAATAAAATAAAAATAATATTAAAATAAAACTGCCTTTTTGGCAGAAAAATTTATGTTTAATAAAATTTCATGTAGATACTTTTGCACTAAGTTGCTGTTTTAATTTTATGCTACTCTTTGCATATTTATTATAATATTATGTGATTATTATTTATATACGCACATACGAGAATATATTTTATATATAAATAAATTGTGTGAGTGCGTACCTTTTGTGCGAAACAATCTGTTCTTATTTATGATTTCACGCAAGCACGCAACTTTAGCGCAATTGTCGTATGTCGACATGAATGAATAAATGCGATTTTCCTGCTCCGTATACAAGCAATTAACAAATTTTATTGCATACTTTCAGGTCATGCAGAGATTTTAAGTTGTTTAATTGCTAAACAACACAGTGTGTGCGCATAATTTCGCTTATAACAGTTGAAAAGCAGTAAATCATCTCGGTGAAGACTATATTTTATATTAATAACTTTATTAGGAAGTGAATTATAGCAGCTATTATAAAATCTAAAAATCAAAATTGTCAGTATATATCAAAAATAAACATAAATAATTTGAAAAACATAAAATAAACTATAAGTTTTTTTCTAAGTATTACTCATTTTTTTACCATTTTACTTAACCACAAACTTAACATACTGCTACAACGCTGCTGCTATGCTGCTGCTACTCTGCTGTTATTCTGCTATTGGCATTGCTACGAGTATTGCTGATACATTGGCACATACGCTTTAGCAGAGTAAAATATGAACAAGTGTAATAAATTATTTTTATTACTGCTGCTAGTCTTGTTCTATTTGCTTGCTGCTTGTATGTGAGTATGTGAGTTGTGAGTATGGGAGTGTGTTTGTGTGCATATCAGTTATCAGTTTTAAAGTTGTATATGTCTGTGGTGGCAGGGTGAGTGCTGTTATTTCTGTTTGTTGCTCTGTATTCCTATATGTTGCTTTATGTTGTATGTGTATGTTGCTGTGTGTGCGTGTAGGTGTTTGATTGATGATATTTTCTGTTTTGTGTATCGTGCAGATTCCTACTTTTGATTTCATATTTCCCATTTTTATTTGTGCTTTAGTCATATTTTAAAAGAACATAAACAATAAATAACATAAATGAAGATATAAAAATCATAAAAAGTGCCGCTGTCAATATTTTTAACATTTTCCGTACGCAGTTAAACCGAGAAATACTCTTATAATTCCACATTTTAACAGTGCTAAACCAAATATTTTTAAGTATTTTCAAACATCTATTATGTTTTTGTGTTCTCTTTTTTTTGTTTTTTTTTTATATTTTTTATATTTTATTTTTTTATATGTTTTGTTATTGAGTTTTATTGACTTGTATTTTATGCTGCCATGATTTTGCACTGTAAAATGGAGTTTAACAAGCTTTTTCGCTTAAAAATAAAACATCAAATGTTTAACTGCCCCGAATTTTATAAATGAAATAACATTTTTAATAAAGCAAAGTAGATTATAAAAAAAGATATTACATTAAAATATATTAAAATTATAAATAATAATAAAAAAACACTACGGAAATTAATATAAATTTATGAGCTGTTAATGCCGTATGTGTAAATATGGTAGTTCGCTCATTAGTTGCAAATCCTGCATAGCAGCAGTGTAAGTACAGGGTTGTGATTTAACATAACCTATATAATTTTTAGTATTATTTTTGTTATATATTAAAATGATGTCTTAAAAATTTAATATAATATTTTGCTGCTATTTTCTAATAAAAATTTCTGATACTAAAAAATGCAATTGTACTTATAACTATATTAGTTTAATTCCACTGCATGCTATATTCACACTGCTTTAGTGCAATTTCATAGTAGCTTCTTTCAAACTACTACCATGTGTCAATTTATTTGTTTCGATGTAGAACGTGATAGAACTACAAGTTGCTCAAAGTCATGCTCTCCGAAGACGCTACACAGTGCCATGGTACATTCACACAAATGACATGCTAAGCGACCTTAGAATAGATGCGGTCAAAAAATATATAAAAAAAAGAGCCCTGAAACTATTCATGAAAACCGCCAGGCTGCTCTACTTAGCACTATCTAATCTCAAAGTAATCACTAACCGCACGTGGCGGTACGCAGATCTTAGATCAGTCATTGAATAAGCACGAAGCTTAAGAGGAATACACAAATTAGTCAGTGAGATGGGTGGAACTCTACAGAAACCCTCTAGCTATCTAGCAAAGCCCTTTAAAGCTTTGTGAACAAAATCCAAAACTAAATCTAGAGAAGAGCTCTACATCTGTTCTAGTGACAAAAATTTCATATGAAATAAATTTCTTCTGTGCGTTGTTAAAAGTAGACAGTCACAAAGAATATGCATAATAGTTTCCTCATCTTCGAGGCAAATTCTACATTCCGACTTAGCAGTTTATCAAAGTGATATTTTAGACCCTTAATGTCCCTTAATAAAACCAACTTAATCAGTCCATGTCAGTTTATTTATTTAAAGGAACAAAAAGGCGCTGTACATGTAATGACATGTTCGTAACAGATCTATTTTGCTGATCTGAGCTCATTACTCTTGTCAAACAATTATAAAAGGACACTACAAATTAGCATAAAGTTTGTATTGGCCTATATCAACTAAGTAATAACATTTAAGAAAGGAGTTGAAGAGTAGAAACTACTTTAAAACAAAGTTCTAAATTTTTTTGTTAATATAAAAAATAAACTTTACAATTTTATATATATATTTTTGATAAAATGTGTGCTATATATGAGTTTTGTTTTATTTATATTTATTCTCATAATTTAATTGATTTTTAATACTCTCATATGAAGGATATCTATGTACAGGTAATTTTAGTAAATATAGTGTATTATTTCAAACTTGATTGTAATATAATGACTCATAGTTACATATATATATATTATTACATTATACTTGGAACTATCTACTAATATCCTTTTTTATTAAAATATATTTATGGCAAAGATTTAGTTGTGGAGTCAATGGCTGAGATTATGGTAATAATCATAAAAAACGCATTACTTCAAAAGTCTCATAAAACTCGATTGGTTTTAACTAACTCCAACTCCTTAGCAAAATCAGTTCCCATAAAATCAACTAAATTAATATCAACGTTTTGAGATTTTGTTTGTTTTTTCTTTTGATAAAATTATTTTTCCAAAATTTAATTTTCGAAAACTTTCCGTTGCAAAACATTAATAAGCAATCAGTGTTTTGGTAATTTCATTTGCCATACCTACAAAAGTATTGATACATAGACCCAAAGGTACTTTTCCGCAGTTGACAGACTACTTCCACACAATCAAAAGCGCATTAGGACTTTGGCGAAGGACATTAAAATGCCGAATTGGCAGTCGCTTTATAGTAATAATATCCTGCAGCACGTTTTCTTGTCAATTAAAAAAAACAAGAA